TCAATCAACGCAAGTGCATCAAATGAACAGATAGAAAGAATACATGTAACCACAGCATTCGAGGCCTGAGCATCCTGTCTAGTAAATGCAACAACTCTCACCTGACCTCTACCAGCATTCCCTTGTCCTTGATTAACAGTAGCACAGTCTCCAGAACCTCGACCTCTATTTCCTGTACCTGTAGCACATGAAGTATTACGAGTAGTCTGAGTTGGTGCAGCTTATCTAATAGAAGCCTGGTTGAAATTTCTCGGAGGCTGAGGGCAATCCCTCAAGTGATGCCCCAACTGTCCACACCGAAAGCACTCTCCAGTTAGAATACGACACTGGCCCAAATGTGATCTACCACAGGTCTGGCAGACTGGAGTAGTGGCATATATCTGCCCAGAATTACGATGTCCAGAAGATGATGTTCCCCTATTGCCCTGTATATAATGTGGTATGTATGTGGATTGTGAAGACAAATGTGTCCCTGTCTGAGAACCCTGTTGTTGTTGTCCTTGATTTCCTGCTCTTCGATTTTCACTAAAACCGCCACTGAAAGACCCTCCTATCTTGGCGTTCTTACGTAAATCACTAGTTGCACGCTCATCCCGTCCCTTGTTTTTAATCTTTCTAGTAAGTTCGACTATATCAGAGTAGGATAAAGTTTTCATCTGTGGGGCTACTGCAGTGTATAGACGACCAACCAATCCATCAACAAACCTCTGAACTCGAGCTTCTTCGGTAGGCACTAAGTAATGAGCATATATAGCCAGCTTACAAAACTTAGTGTTATATCTTGGCACATCCATATTTGGAGTCTGAACCAATCTCTCAAAGTCTCTAGCATATTTTTGCATCAGGCTATCTGGAAGAAAATGATTCTTGAACAACTTAGTGAACTCGTCCCATGTCAGTGGTGCTGCTCCTGCTGGCCTTCCTAGCAATACTGTTTCATACCATGTGTTGGCCAAATCCTCTAGTTTGTATGCTGCGAGCTCCACGGCTCTCTCACTAGAACATCCCAGAGCACGTATGCCTTGAGTGTCCCATCCAAGAAACTTTGAGGATCTGCTGAATTATCAGAACCTGTGAATTTTGGTGATTTCAATTTCAGGAACTCTTGTAGGGATACTTCCTTATTTCTGAAAGTCTGAGTCTGTGCAGGTGTTTGTGTCCGTTAAGTAGCCTGAGGAGCTGAACTTCCACCCTGAGTAGGCACCAATGCCTCTACACATTCAATAACCTTGCCACTGCGTATGCAGGTAAGGCAACAGTAGGTACAACAGTTGGCACAGGTGGTGGAGCGTCCTGAACTCCCTGCCCTTGCACTTGATCTGGCATAGCAGCTTGGGGTTGACCCATGTTCCCAACTTCAGGTTGAGAAGCAGTCTGTCTTCTAGTTTGATGAACCCCAACTTGACCGCCACCCGGGGTAGTACCACGTCCAGCACCACGTCCAGCAGATGAGGGTGTACGTGTCCTAGCCATCTGTGAAAGAAATATTCCAAAGTCAATCTCAAGTTATCTCCACGCACGATCAAAGAATGAAAGAAGAGAAAACATTCCTAGATGTTCAGTAGCTTCAAGATCATAAGTATGGGCGTCTACATACCCATGAACAAGACTCTACTAAACATTGCTCCATGACTCGGGACTTAAAGCCTAAGCTCTGATACCAACTTTGTCAGGATCCAATTTAGGATCATGACCGGCACTTAGGAGCAACTGCCTCCAAGTAAGCCTCATCGGTATTTTACAGAAAATCGGGCAGAGTTTTTCCTATTTTTGGACTATCGCAAAAAATTTCTCTGTCTCAAATCAACAACCAAACATCCTAGTACCATACCAAACAATTGACAACTTGTCAATTAACCAAAACAAGTCTCCACCATAACTAAACCACCAACTAACCACTAGAAATACTAATTTATCTCCAACTTTGATAAATGAGAACGATACTCAACATAAGACTATAATAACAAAAGAATACTCATGACACTAAAATAATGACTATGGAGCGACTCTAAGAGTTCAAAGAAAAAGATCATAACAATAAATAAAATCTCTGCCCATGCGAACAAGTGCGAGGCTCACCAAGAACTATCAACCTGTGCGCTCTAATAAACGAAATTCTCACCTGCGTCAACTGCTGTTTCTGTAAAAAAAAGCTAGCGGGGAATGAGTCGCTAGCTCAGTGAGTAATAACAATTAACCATAACCGTTTTTATTGGGGACAAATAGAAAACATGCTAGTATATTAAACAGAAATTATCATAAAAATGCTCTTTCAGAAATAATAAATAATTTTCAGTCTCATCATGCTTTTCTTGTAGTATAATACAATTAACAATTCAGTAATAAGCTCAGTAACTACTGTATAATATCAATATTCACATTTGGGAGGTTTCAATGAACGGATCATGTAATCGGTATAAATGTGACTTCTTCGCAAGAAGTCAAATATAACGGTAGTCCCTACTCGAGGAAAATCGGTAACGGTATGCTAGTTCTACCTTCCCACTAGCAAGGGCTGTAACGGTAATATGTAATTACAAGGTGCACCAGGTCTAACAAACCCGCCGTTAGTTACGGTATCCTTCAATGTCTACTCTCATTTATACTTGTCTTTGTTATCCGTATATACTCGTAGAAAAAGTATTTTATAATATAGGGCATTTCGGTTCTTATCAAATCATGTAATTTTATTTCAATGACATAAAATTCACGTAATGGTAAAACGTATCCAGTGACCACAAGAATATTTTAACAACGATAATCATCTCAAATGACTATTTCTGTATCATATCGAGTAAAAGACTTGTCCCACATGAAACTCAAAATAATCGGTAATATATTCATATTAAAAATTATGTGTAGATCATGCAAGTTATGAAAACACAAATTACGGTAAGATTACTACTCACAGTACTCGTGCCGAAATACCAACTGCTTCACCTCAAGCAACTCGTACAAATTCCTCCAATCAATCTATAATTACATAATATCGATCTCATGTTAATTTCCTTATTTAGGCTAATTCATAGCTATTTTTGAATACCCAATCATCGGGGTTCATGTTTGGGTCTTAATTTGTGGATTTATATCTATCCACATATGAGTAATTACTAATTTATCAACTTCAACCTATTCATATAATTTATTACTCCAAATTTCATAAAGTTCTATTGATTCTTTAGGAAGAAAATTCTCAATTGTGTGAATGAACTAGTGTAATTTCTATTACTCTGTAGAATCTTTCAATCAAGAGAATCGAAATTAAAATCTACTAGAAGAAGAAGTTCAAGTAATACCCGTAAGAGAAAACTAGTGCTTAAAATTCCTCAACAGTTATAGCTATGGCTTCAACGCACTGCAGCCACTTCTTCCTCCTTTTGTCTTTTCCTTCTTTCTTTCTCTGCGTTTTTTTTTTTTGTTTTTCGTTTCTGCTGAAGCTTTTCTTCTTTCCCCTTCCCTACCCCTTGTTTTGTTCTTTTCCCTTTTAGTTCATAGAATGGCTTCGGCCCTTTTGTGCTTGCATCCCCTTTCCTTTTTTTCGTTGTTTTGTTTTATTTGTTAGTTCCTTTTTTTTGGGGATTTTAAATTATTTTTTAAATGTCCAATACGTCCTCACTTAAAATATTAGGATATTACAGTTGTACTCATACTACACTTTGCACTTCTTGTGCAGATTTTGGTATTAGTCCTAGTTGCCCCTGAGGTGCATTATCTCGGATCAGCTGACTTGGAGACTCGAGGTAGATCTGCTGGCGTCCGCAGACCTTGAAGTCCCCTTCCATTTCCCCTTATTTTCTGCTCTTTTCATTTGAGACAATTATACTTATTTCAGACTCTATTTGTAGAAATTCTAAAAGCTCGTGAATTGTGACTCCAGATCCGGATTGTACTAATGGTTGTTATGTTATTCCGCACTCAGCTTAGGTTTCATTTTGGTTCAATTGACTTTACATATTTATATTAATGAAAATTGGCTTAACGATCCTCTAACGTTGGCTTGCCTAGTAAGTGAAATGTTAGGCGCCATCACAGTCCCGAAGGTGGGAATTTCGGGTCGTGACATAGGCGGAGGGTGCTGACCATTGGAGCAACCCCTCTTGTCCCCAAGCATCCTTTGGGGACGGAGGGTACTGACCATTGGAGCAACCCCTCTTGTCCCTTAGCATCCTCTGGGAGGCGGAGGGAGCTGACCATTGGAGCAAACCCCTCTTGTCCCTAGCATCCTTTGGGAGGTAAGAACTTGTCCATTTACTGGCCAAGAAGAATGGTCAGAATACCAAAAATAAGTTACCGACTGTATATCGTTTAATTAGATTACTTCCCCCACTTCAGAATGTAATGCAGTTCTTTAATGTTGTCCAGAACGGCAAGAGTTAAAAAACTAGGCTCATAATTTCTTTGTCGTGTCTAAGCGGAAATGGCCAAAGTAACTTACATATGTATCCTTAATTAATTACCTAATTGATAAATAAGTTATAATTAAATAACGATCATGGAGCCAATGTCTAACCAAAAGAGGGGGCAATGATAAATGAACTTTCTTTATTAGAAAGCAGAACAAATTAAAGGGGAAAACTTAGTGTTGACTAATTTCACAAATTTTCGTTTAAATTTAGGATACTTATAAACTTGGTATAATGAGTATAAAAAGTAAGGTTGGTGTGACGATCAATGAATTATTGGCAGCAGCGTTCATCAGTATTGAAACCTAACTTTATCTAATAAAACAACTATTTTAACTTCACGTAATCAATTTATTCAATAACAATGCATAAATACATAGCTAATTTAGGAAAATATTAGTAGGACATTCTTTTAGTTTTTTCTTCCCCTCGTTTTCCATAACTTAAACTAATAGTCAAAAACCTTGTTGAGAGTTTGTTGGAATATAGTAAATAAAGTCATACTCCTATAGATACATTCTTTTGGCCACCAAAAAATGGAAGCTTGCGTGAAGTTCAGTATTATATATATGTATATATATACTAGCAATCAATATATAGATATATATTAGAAGTACGGTTTTGCTCAGACGTAAAAAAGAGTTTATTGAGAAGAGCAAATTAGCATGGAGGAAAAGAAGTACGTAGTTGAGGTTGAGAAAGGTAAAGAAGGCAGAAATGGAAGGCCATCAACAGGACCTGTTTACCGTAATGTGCTAGCCAAAGATAGTTTCAGGCCTTTATCTCATGGACTTGAAAGTTGCTGGGATATTTTCTGGTTAGCTCCCTTTTTAACTTCTTCATTACACCACCACCAACCCCTCCCCCACCCCTCCCCGCGCCCTCCCAAAAACACACAAAAAGGCAGCCCGGTACACTAAGCTCCCACTATACGCGAGGTCCGGAGAAGGGTCGGACCACAAGGGTCAATTGTACGCAGCCTTGCCCTATATTTCTGCAAGAGGCTGTTTCCGCGGCTCAAACATGTGACCTGGTCACAACTTAACTAGGCTCCCCTTCCCCTCCCAAAAACACAAATACTAGTAATAACAACTGACCTCATCCTCTATACTCTTTAAATTTAAGTTATTATATATACTGATACTGTGTAGTTTTTACATTGTTAATACAATTTAACCCGGGGTATATAGCATGTACGTTATCATTTTTACTTGGGTACAGGTTAATAATTATCAAATTTATTTACTTGTAATTATCTTAGAAGTGACCTGCTAGTGTAAGCTGTTTCATCAAAAAGTTAGATTTTTTTTAGTTCACGAGCTGCAGTTAATCTTAACTTGACTTTTTGTTTTGGTGCAGTGAGTCTGTCAATAATTTTCCAGATAGCCGAATGTTGGGTGAGCGGGAAATGTTCCACGGTCAGGTATGCATCCTTTTTACTTTCAACCCATATTTTTATTTATTTATAAGGAGGCTACAGATCCCCTTATGTATTTCTGGTTCTGCAGATTGATAAAGAAATTAAAATTTGCCACTTGTCTTTATGAAAATTCTTAAAATCCATGAATGACTTCTATGAACTTCATGTTTCAAGTAACATAATGAACGACATGACTTGGTGTTAATAAGGTTTTGGAATCAACTCGGATTACACATCTTTTAGCGGAATCTTTCAATTTCTTTGAGAGAAAAATTCTGGTTCTTTTAAGCTCAGCTTCTTGAAGAATTTTCTTCCTTTTATTGTTGCTGATAATGTTCTTGAAATTTCCATCATTTTTGTGTCTTTGTAGGCAGGTAAATACATTTGGTTAACTTACAGGGAAGTGTATGATCAAGTGTTAAAAGTTGGAGCTTCTATTCGTGTCTGCGGTGTTAAGCAAGTAAGCCATTCAGACTTTAAAGTTGAACAATGACAGAGAACTTCATTCAATATAGAGTGTTATGCAATTTTTGAGTTAATATTTAGAAGACATTTAACTCATATCTCTTAACAAGCTTAGAAAACATTCATTGAAACTTGTTACAGAAGAGATGCAGTTTTGTCAGAACCATGGACTAAATTCTTTTATCTGATGAGTTTTTATCTGATTGCTTATATACAGGGTGGAAGATGTGGTATATACGCGGCCAATTGTTCGAACTGGGTCATAAGCATGCAGGTATATATATAACTTCCAATATACTTAAGTTTCTGAATACAGCGGTTCTGTTGTTTGCTTCATTTGCGTTATCTGTCCAATAATATGATACATGTCATATGTTGGAGCTGGAGTATCCCGCAATGTACACAGAACAAATGAGGTCTTTCCCCTTCTCTGGTTCTGAGACAGTGGCATTGGTGCAATATAGGACTATCTTTTGAGGCCATCATGACCATTTTCTTTTATAGTTTTTTTGTCATCGCCTTTTTGCTTATACTCTTGTTGCAGCATCTGTTCTGAACTCTTCCATACACTTGATTTCTTCACTTCTGGTTTGTGTATGAGCGGTAGCTCCTGCAGTTTACTGTCCAGGGGGATATTTCAAGGAAAACTTGTCAATAATTGGATGATAAAACAGATAAATTTCATTACATGCATAATAAATCTTTCGCATGAATTGGATAATTGTGTTATTCAATGTTTTTTCTCATACATCAGCTAGTATATGCTGTCCAAATAAGCAAAATGGTCTACTTATTTTTGCAGGCCTGCAATGCTCATGGTCTCTATTGCGTCCCCTTATACGACACTCTAGGTAAGCATGTTACCTCTCCAGACCCTCTCCCCTTCTCTTCCTGAAAGGAAACACAAAGTTAAAGAAGATGCTTCAGTATTAAGAAAATCCGAAAGAGGACAATATATGTTAGCATGAGTTAGCATATTGTTAGGACTTAGGAGTAATGTTTTCGGTATATCTTACAAATTGCATTTATCAGGACATAGCATCACAGCTACAAGAAAGTATGTTAAACTATCTTGATATGATGTCTAAATGGAGAAACCGTGATGGGAAATCTAGATAGTCAATTTATGTAGAGTTGTAAGGATTGTTTGAGCAAAATGTGTTATTTCTGTTAGTGGTATATAAATAGGTACTAGCAAGATATCGTAGGACAGCAGTAACATATAGACATAGTCAAGTCAATTCAAAAGGGACTGTGTCATTGTTTTAATTAGTTTGACAGGAGTTTGCAACATTTTGCATCATTTTTTGTCAGAGACAAATATAATGTTTGTGTAATCATAGCTAGGAATAGGTTGATTAAGATTTTCATTTGGTATTCTAATACTATATAATTGTTCTCACTCATTGTTGGAGCAATATTATGGCTTCAGGTGCTGGTGCAGTTGAGTATATCATTTGCCATGCAGAAGTTTCCATTGCTTTTTCAGAGGAAACAAAAATTTCCGAGGTAATAACAATCACACTACATTATGACACTTTATTTAGTTTTTGATCCACTTCACTAGTCTACATCTCTCCTATTTTTCTTCATATTCTTGTATATTTCTTTGTCCGCCTGAAGTTCGCTCCATCAGGAACTGACTGTTTACTTTTGGTACATTTTAGGTGCTCAAAACTTTTCCTAACGCAGGAAAGTTCCTAAAAAGTAAGTAACTACTGTTTTAACCTCTTATGATTAGAGCAAGAATCGGCTTAAAGGTGCTAAGTTTGTCACTCCTTTTGTAGCTCTTGTAAGCTTTGGTAAGGTCACACAGGAACAGAAAGACATGGCTGGAACTTTTGATTTGAAATTGTATTCTTGGGATGAGTTCTTGCTACTGGTGAGTTACTTGGCGCTATCATTACAGTTACGTCTTCCTCCTTTTTTGTCTATGGTAGAGAAACATTCTTCACAGGCTGAAATTTTTCCTGGATTTCCCACTTCCTAGCTTTTGCCTTTCTTAATAACTTTTAGTAGAGTGTGTGTGTGTGTATGTATATATATTTATATATGTCAAACAAGGAAGGCCTACTTATCTTATAGTACTAATTTCTACTGCTTTCTGTCCTTTTTGTTCTAATTCACATTTCAACTTTGAGTTATTATTGAGGGAGCAAAATGTTCGGGGTCTGTCGTTTGTAGTGTCACACCTGTACCACATTGAAAGGGTAGGATAATGCTTGGTATATTCACCCTAGATCTGTTTTAACAATAGGGCCTGAATCCAACTCCATTTTCCGGAACGTGCTCATCCTCTTATGTTCATAACTGGGTATCAACTTCTATCCAAGACAATTTGAAACTTACGGTTATTGAAACATTAGCATATATATCAGTTATCAGCTTTCATATACCCTTCAAGTAGGTTTTCACTTTCAAAAACAGCTTTCATTATAAATTGGTCAGCATCAACCAGCATACTTGGTAGCTATATTCCTATTATTGGAACTAACTTTACAAATACTATATTTTCCAGTTCCATTTTCTGTAATTTGTATTCATATTCAGCTTTAATCTGCAGGGAATACAAGAGAAATTTGATCTTCCTGTTAAAAAGAAAACAGATATCTGTACAATCATGTATACAAGTGGAACAACTGGTGACCCAAAGGGAGTCATGATTTCCAATGAGAGCATTTTATCCCTTATTTCTGGAGTGAACCACCATATGGAGACCATGAATGAAGAGGTAATATAAATGATCCTTGTTCTGTTTTCCAAGGCAGCAGAAAGTCTTCAGTAGTGTATCAATCAGGATTTATGCAAGTATATGTTTCATATATATACACATATATACTGTATATTCTATTATGTTTTAGACTGTTTATTTATTCTTTTTATTCAACTTTTTCATGTTCATTTAGTGTGGTCATTTACAAATCTCTTGTGGTATGCAGTTCACTGATAAGGATGTATATCTGTCGTACCTTCCTTTAGCACACATATTTGATCGGGTCATTGAAGAATTATTCATTTCCAAAGGTGCATCGATAGGTTTTTGGCATAAGGTAAGTGAAGAAACATGGAGAATTTTAGTGGCTTGAAATACTTGAAAATAACGACGCTTTATTAACTGAATCCTCAGGATGTTAAACAACTGGTTGATGACATCAAAGAGCTAAAGCCAACTGTATTTTGTGCAGTTCCACGTGTGCTGGACAGGATTTATTCAGGTGAAAGCTACAAGCTAACAGCACTGCGTAATATTTTACTATAGAAAGACAGCCATGTGCTTAGGATGTACTTTACCATTGTTTTTGAGGGGGGTTGAGACTTCCTAAAAATTGGTCAAACCCAAAAATCCATTTCACTACCTCTGGAATTCTGCTAGATGTTCTACATTCTGTTAATTTAGTTCTTGAAAGCCATTTCTTACGGTGCCAAAAGTTAGTGTAGGATAAACTCTCTCTTTCCCTTTCTCACTAGGATTTAAGGAAAGCATAGCTGTCGGAACAGGGTAGACAGGCTTGCACACTAGATAAATAATCTAAGATTTAGACAATGTCATCTCATCTCTTTATTTCTTTTATGTATTGATTCTCAGACAATGTCATCTCAACTGCCATAGAAGACTGTCACTTTAATTGCTACATGAACTTCTCCTTTTTGCTTCCTACAAAGATGCTCTCAGATAATCTCTATTCATAGCAACAGATTCTTGTACTGTTTTGCACAATTCAACTAAGGCACTGAAATTTTAACTATTTTCACTTTCAGGTTTGGTGGACAAGATTTCTTCTGCTGGTTTCCTTAAACATAAACTGTTTAACTTTGCTTTTAACTAGTAAGTGCCCATTTCGTTCGGTGTGCTTCCTTCTTTTGTTCTGCACTATTTTCCTTATTGTGGTAGAATATAACAATCAGGGTGATATTTGAATGGTAAAAGCTTTATTTAGTTGATGACCTTCCCGATGTGCTGCATTACTTGAGTTTATGTCTGTGAGACTGCGACTGAGCCGGATATGTACATCTGACACTCATAACGCTGTTTCCTTTATAGCTTATAGTTGCATATTGAAACAACAGAAATTTGCTTCTAATTATAGTTAAAGCTTAATACATGTAGAGACTCCTTACTGTGTAAAATTTTCGATGTGCATAAAAGACCATTCAGATAAGTTAGTGCAACGATTTTACTATATTGGAAATATCACTAAGAGCTTTTTTATTTGTACAATGATCACATAAAACACATTTTCTTGCAGCAAATTGGGTAACATGAGTAAAGGGTATAAACATGCAGAGGCAGCTCCTATTTTTGACAAAATAATTTTCAACAAGGTAGGAAACAATTATATGTTTCTCAGCAGCTTCTTTTCATCCTTTTCTCCCCATCTTTTGGTGTCATAAAGAGCAGTGTTCTACAGTGATTTGTTAATGCCTTATGTGATGATTATTAATTTAGGTGAAGGAGGGTTTAGGAGGAAACTTGCGTCTCATTCTGTCGGGAGCAGCACCTCTCTCTTCCACTGTTGAAACCTATTTACGAATTGTGACATGTGCCAATGTTCTTCAAGGATATGGTACTCGTTATTATTTATCAGAATTTTCTACTTACAAAGAGTTTTCCTAATGTATGAAAGTAAAAATTCATTAGGTACTAGTATTAAATTCTTATTTAAATATAATAAGCATGAATAAGATGCTAACTTTTCTATGCAATTCTTGGAGTATCATTTGTTTTTTCTTTGTTCCCAAATTCATCAGACAACAAGCTGTTTTCTGATTTTTATGGATACCAATCAGTCAGAAGCCTTATAAATGGTTTCTGTTTCCACTTTCAGCAACCTGAATTTACATCAACAACTTCTTTTAGGCATAAGTCATAAAAGAGCTTATATTTTCAGTTAGTTGCTACTCTTTCCCTTTCTTTTGTTGTTTGTTCAGTTAGACTTTGCACGGAGCTATTAATGAAGTTTTGAGTTGAAGACGAAGAAACGTTGTGAACCAACTCTAACTTCTCGGTATATGCTGTAGGTTTAACGGAGACCTGTGCAGGGTCATTTGTTGCAAGACCAGATGAACTTGCAATGGTTGGTACTGTAGGTCCTCCTTTGCCAATTATAGATGTGTGTCTAGAGTCTGTTCCTGAAATGGGGTATGACGCCCTTGGAAATACCCCTCGTGGAGAGATATGTATAAGGGGCAAGTGTTTATTCTCAGGATACTACAAGCGCGAAGACCTCACCAAAGAGGTGTTGGTCGATGGCTGGTTCCACACAGGTATCTTCATATTTTCAACCCAATTACATGTTTTTGATAGCTTGCCTCATAATGTTGCTTACAATAAACTTGCAACAGGCGATGTTGGTGAATGGCAGCCGGATGGGAGTATGAAAATTATTGACCGGAAGAAAAACATTTTCAAGCTCTCCCAAGGAGAATATGTTGCAGTTGAGAATCTGGAGGGCATTTATTCTCTTGCCTCTAGTGTGGATACGGTATGTTTATTGTATTTTACAGATGACTTGAATTATAATGTTGGGTTTCTACCAGAAGAAATCACATAATAATAAACTCAGTTAGTTTTCACTCATCCCCCTTAAGTTGTGTTCTGTTTGTCCTTCAGTATTAAATGATCAAATCCACTCTAGACAGAGTTGTATTGTCACATTTTATCTTGATGAATTCTTCTGCACAATTGAAACAGATATGGATCTACGGTAGTAGCTATGAGTCATTTCTTGTTGCCGTTGTGAATCCCAATATGGGTGCTCTTCAGTCCTGGGCCGAGGAGAATGGACTGACCGGGGATTTTGATACTATATGTGAAAACCCAAAGGCAAAAGCATATATTCTATCAGAACTAGCCAATACTGCTAAGGAAAAGAAGGTCATCCCTCATCCTGTATCTACATATAGACAGCAAACTCCTTTGTTTTATTCATATTTAGATAGTTTTAACACTATACTGAATGTCTACGATTGACTGTTTTTAAATGACTATATATATGTGATTCTGTTTACAGCTGAAAGGCTTTGAGTTTATCAAAGCTGTGCACCTTGACCCTATACCATTTGACATGGACCGTGAACTTCTAACCCCAACTCACAAGAAAAAGAGGGCCCAATTTCTCAAATATTACCAGGTTTGCTACTCTCCTTCTCCCAAGTTAGATTTAAGGCGTCCATATAGCTGGAAAAACTGAGTTTTTCTGCAATAGGGTCTGTTAACATGAGTTTTTTTGTTTTTAAGTTGGAAGCCAGACTCTTGTTTATTGATGACGCAGAACTAACATGAAATTGCAGAACATCATTGATGCACTGTACAAAAGCACAAGATAAGCAACCAGACACCTTGACTTCACATCCGAGCTGGATATAAGTAACTATATTTATATCTACGATGACAAACTCCGAATGCAGTTTTCTACCAGCTCATATTTATTAGTTGTAATTCATTCTTGATTGTACCTTATAAAAGTCCAATTATGTAATGCTAATTATATTCCTTGCTATTTCTTCAACAATTGAATGTCTCAGATACCTTTCATTTACTGGACACAAAGTTCTTTTTTGTCTTTATCTTCCAAAGATCAACTCATCCAATTTGGGAATAGAGGAGTTGCCAGATAATCTAACCTACCCAAGTAAAGATATCTTGATTGCGAATCATTTCAGAACCCCAGGCATATAGTGGTCTAATCTATCCTATTTTTTGTATTTGTGTTATATTAAATGACCAATTTACAAATGTGTCCAGAAATGGACTTCAGAATTCCAATTTGACTAGACTGTGACACCATGTAAAATTGCCAAAACTTATTGAAAGCCATAGTTTATCAGAATACATTTTACAAGGCAGGTGCAAGATGCCTGTTATATTCAAGGTTTCTATTGTATAAAGCAGACTCGTGTTAGAGACCAACGATAAAACCAAACTGCAGCAACCAGGTCACAAATGAGCCTCTTATTCTAGCTAGACTGCCCACCTTTTGGGCTAAGAGCTAAAATCAGGTCAGTAAGGGACATAACCTGGGAGATAATTTGGCACCTCTCAAGGCACGCAACGCGTTGATAGCAAACCTTGATGCATAAATGGTAGCTCCAAGACTTGGTAAATTTGCAGTCTCTTTTGCCAATACAACCTTTAGTCTATCTTCTTCTTCTCTGAAGAATTTTTCAAGCTTGTTCCTGCAGTGTCTGCGCCATGCAGCTTGTATAAAGCAGGCTGCCCATGTCCTCCAGTGCTGTGAATAGAATTTGGAACAGCCAAAAGTACATTGAAAGTGCTGAGGGCCTTTTCAAAAACCGATAGCAGCCAAAGGATTCTCTTCTTATTTTTTTTCCTAAAAAAAACCATCTCAAGGTGGCATGAAGCCTGAATTTAGCAAACAAAGAAAAAACTCAAAAATAAAAGTCATACATACTGGCCTAATTCCCTACAAAGAATTAGAAGACTGCCTTATCACTTTTATATATTTGGTCTTTTTTCCGACTATATATTTGGTCTTTAATTACAATTAATGTACATACCAAAAAACAAAAAATAAAATTGGTGTCAGGAACCATTAGTCCTCCGTTACTGAAAAAAGGTTTTCAAGAAAACGGAAGGTACATAAAAGAGAGAAGTGTTAAAAAGAAATACAATTACCTATGTGCCCCTAAAAAGGAACTTCTGTGTTGATAAGTAGTCTAAGTTCGACTAATATAGTTTAGTACAAATACAGTAACTAAAGAAATTAAAGAATGATTTCTACCTAATACCAATGTCATATTTATCAAAGTCTAGTTAGTCCTATAAGTTTTTAGTTCTCCACGATTGTCACAAATCATTTGGGATCTATTCACAATTACGCAAGTTGCAAGACGAATTCAACTACCATATCTCTTAAAAAAAAAACATGGACACCAAATTTTTTGACACGATTGTGTAGAAAATGAAGAGTGTGTGGATAGATGAAAAAGAATAAAATTATTGGGACCAAATTGAATATAACACCAAACACCAAGCACCCATGACAGAATTTATCCTTCTTGTTTCATATTCACAGTCATAGAACGTCGTCGTAGCCTAACATACAAATATCTCCCTCTCAATCTCAAACGTTTACCCTTAAACCCTCCGAAGGAGGGCGCAAATAAGGCTTAAACCCTGAAAAACCCTATCCTCATTCTTCTCCTTCTTCGAACCCTAATTTCCCCCCATATATTTATCTCCGTTTTCCATGCCGTTCAAGCTTTTACCACAGCTTCGTTTCTTCAATTCTACATTTCCAGTTACCCATTTTCCCACCATGAAATGCAATTCTACATTAAAGCCTAAAACAGTACCCGTTTTATCTAGAATGTTCCCTCACAAGCTCAAGTATCGGTCAATTGGATTTCCAATTTTACCAACTCAACAACAGGAGCTCCGTAGGTTCTCGTCCCGCTCAGGGAGACCAAGACCCGGGTCGGGTTTGGGTCATGAGGTGCGGGTTTCGAAGAGCTTGATTGAAGATGAAGCTGAACTCAGTGATTGGGTAAGTGGGTTGAGGTCTGATTCGTTTAAGAAAACTCAGGTGTATAGTGATAGTGATGATAACGATGGTGGTAGGGGTAAATTTGGTAATAGGCGTGGTGGTGGAGAAGAGAGAGGTGAAAAGAGAAGGAGAGATGTAGATTCTGATGATTTTAATGGGCCTGGTAGGAGAAGTGGAGGCCCAATGCAGTCAAATTCGAGAAATGGAGGGAGGTTTGGAAGTGAATTGGACGGTGGAAGAAGTGGGGGAAGAGGTCAAATGCAGTCAAATTCGAGGAATGGAGGGAGGTTTGGAAATGATAGAGGGAGTAGAAATGAGGGTAGAGGAAGTGGAGGTCGAGATAGGATGGTGTCGTCCCCAAGGGGTGGAAGGTTTGGAAGTGATATAGGTAGTGGAAGTGAGGGTAGGAGAAGTGGAGGCCGTGATCGGATGGAGTCGTCTCCGAGGAAGGGAGGGAGGTTTGGAAGTGATATAGGGAGTGGAAGTGAGGTTAGAAGAAGTGGAGGCCGAGATCGGATGGAGTCCTCTCCGAGGAAGGGAGGGAGGTTTGGAGGTGAAATGGCAGGTCCCAGTGACAGTAAGAGGGGTACGGGCAGGGTTGGTAGTGGATATGGTAGAGATATGGGAGGACAAGGTGGTAGTGATAGGTTAGGGAGGAAAGAAGGGACGAGTATGGGGCGAGGGAGTTCGACATTGTTAGATGAAGATGATACAGATAATGAGGATGAGGATGAGGGGGAGGAGGAAGAGGAAAGTGGTTATAAGGGGTTTCGAGATTTGATTGATAGTGAGGAAGAAAGTGAAGAGTCTGATGAAGATGATGAGGTTGAGGATGGAAAAATGTTCTCTTTGGAGAAGGAGGACATTCCAAGGGCATCACACCCCCGCTCAACTGGAAAAAGTGATTCCCACCTCACTAAGACCAGGTAACTCATAAACACATGACTAACCATGTATTCTGCAGCATGCTGATTGTTAGAATCTTTTTGAGTAGCTGTCTGGAGCTGTTAGAAGCATGCATAATGAATAAATAATAGCACTCGGAATTATGTGCCAAAAGTTGCTGAATCTGTTGCTAGAAAAGCAATGTGGATTTTGGTGGTTGTTGTTATTCAGTACTTCAAACTCAGATTTAGATCTCTGATAGTCGTGAGGGGGGGATACTCTTAAAGAAAGTAGAAAGAGATAATGCGGGAAGGACTGGATTCTTGTTGTGTGTGCGATTGGATTAATGACAATTTAGTGGATAATATATCACCAAATATTATGGGAAGAAGAGAGACACTGTATATGCTTAATAATAGTGTAGGAAAACATAAACAAAGGGGACCAATAAAGAAACGTAGATGAAGGTGTTGAGCGCGTGAATGTGCAGAGTTGCTCTTTTGCTTGTCTCTGTATGAACTGAGGAATTTTGCCCAAGGATGTGGTACATTGTCCAGTTTTAGATGGATCTTCTATAGAACCTTTCATTCTTAAGACAGTTATACTGTAATATTTTTGTTCATGCTCCAAGTAACCAAGTAACCTCAAGGAAAAGTAATTTTCTTCCGTCAATTTAAATATCTTTTATTCTATTAGATAATATTTTTATCCTTTTCGCTGCAGATTTGATAAGTTTCCAATCTCTCCCTTGTCTCTGAAAGGAGTTAAAGATGCTGGATACGAGACGATGACCGTAGTGCAGGAGGCAACCCTTCCTGCTATTCTGAAAGGTTAGCCTCTTCATCTTTTGAAGCTTGAAGCATAGTGTGTTGAGATGACATTCATCACTTAATATATAGAGGTTAAGCACTATTATATGTGTTAATGATGACAGTGCCTGTTGTGATCAATTGTATTTGGTAGGCAAGGACGTTCTGGCCAAGGCAAAGACTGGCACTGGCAAGACTGTAGCATTTTTGGTAAAACACTATATCTTTTCCATCAGAGAGTACCTATTGATGCATGAACAAGAAAAAAATGTTGCATGCAATTCCATTTACAAAAAAATATATACTCACTTGTGTCATCTGTTATCGTTGGTGTTCCGTCTTCTAAAATGTTTATAACTTCCTTGGTGACCTGCGTAATTACACATCTCTACATCCTGGATTTCGTGGAACAGGGCTGACGGAGACACCATTATTCGAACTGTAGGATGAGTATCTTCATGTTGTAATGTTACCAATATGTGTATTCTTTTGGTTTGTCGAATGTGTAAGCTCTCTTAGAAAATGGAATTGCTCTACTTAAAGATTTGAGTGAGAACTCCAAACCTTTGTCCCGTTACAACAAAAAAATAACTTTTCACTGGTTTAGTTTGTCACTTTTGGTGTTCCATTTCCTATAACTTCCTTGGTGACTTGTGCAATGGATGATGAGTATCTTTGTTTTGTTCTATCACTAACATGTGGATTCTTTTCATTGTTGAATTGAAAGAAAAATGTAGTTCACCATTCTTTGTCTTTGTTTAAACGTGAAAACTCATGTACTAAACATCACCGTGAGAATTCCCCACCTTGTCTTTAAACAATTGCATTAGTGGATTTTCCTAAGAACTACATATTAAAAAAAAACTCTCCAAAGTACTGCACTTCATCAATATCAGATTGGATATAGCTTGAGAAGGTCAAGGAAGATACAGTGTTATCAAAGGCGCGCTTAAAGCCCGATTAAGCCCTGAAGCGAGGCTCAAAACATGTTGAGCGCTTCGCTTAGCGGGCGCTTTAGCCTTGCTATCAAGGCTTTAAGACATACTTTTCTTTGCTAATGAGCGTAATCTGGAAGAAGCGATACTAAACAATCGATATTTCACTTTATCGTAAATTTTCTTCAATTTCTTTGTCCATATATTTGGTATTCATGCTTGTTGATATTAGTCTTGGACTACACATACATATTTTTTCATTTGCGCCTTTCTTCATTAAAGCCACGCTTTATTTGTGCTTTGTGCTTAAAGCCCCAACAGACCTTAGAGCTTTTTTTGCGTTTTTCGCCTTTGATAACATTGGGAAGATATTCTCTGGAACAAACTACATGACCTGTTGTCATAGTTTGAGAGTAAAAACCTTTGGTATAAACAATAGTACTTCTATATTAGGGGATTTTCATAGTTAAGTATCCATATAAATTTTCCTATGTCTAGCAACAACAACAACAATCCAGTAAAATCCCACTAGTGGGGTCTGGGAAGAGTAGTGTGTACGCAGACCTTACCCCTACCCCGAGGGGTAGAGAGGCTGTTTCCAAAAGACCCTCGGTCAAGAAGACGAAAAGAGACAATATCGGTAACACCAAAAGACAGTTTTCCTATGTCTAGCAGTAGCATAAAAAGAAAATAACATTCACCTTTCTTTCGTTGTTAGCTCTTATTTCATGAAAATGATTAATAAAATATTTACCAAAAGATATCACAAGATAGTTAATTGGACCTGTTTGAAGTTTTGAATAAAAGTTTTTCAGTTTTTTTTATTTCATAGAAATTCATGAAGTTACCCTGTATGTCACGAAACAACAGATTGTATACAGTTTTGACTTTACTAGTTAAAACTATTTGATCCAATTTTAACGAGTTAAATAAATTTTTAAACATGAATTTTCTTTTGGTGAACAAAAAGGTGATGATAGCCTGCTTATTTTGAGTGCCAAATTGTACTATGATTATATATGACCTTACAATTCTCAATATGCTGGTTGATTATTGTTCTTTGGTAAAACTATGTGCTGTCTTCAAACTCCGCCTCACACTTCAGAAAAAGCATTATATACAACAAGAAATGGACAAACTAGGGAAGCTAAGACATGTAAGTAATAATACTTAAGGACAAAGTTGCATCTATTTTGGGTCATGTACTTTGCCTTCTGATAGTATTAGCTTTAGATCTTTTGCGTATTGCATATAAGCAACTTCCAGTAATTATCAGATTTTCTGGTAGTCAACATGTCTCATTTGTTGATAGCTGCTTTTCACTAGTAAAGTTCTTTCCTTTTAAGAGAACCGGAAAGGAGAGACTCTAACAGCCATTTTCTGATTGAGTTATGACTTCGAAAATGGATTCTGTTTACGTAATCATTTTATTTAATAAATATCAACTCTGTTAACTTAAGTCATGTTAAAGTTTCTCCAAAAATTGATATAGAGTTTGCATAGTCATTTTAAAATTCTCTGAGAAAATAGCTGGCATCTCTGCGATCATGTCAGCCTAATCATTCCAATAATTTGAATTTCAGCTTCCTTCAATTGAAGTTGTGGTAAACTCACCCCCCAACACTCGTGATCAAAAGAGGCCACCAGTTCTGGTGCTTGTGATATGCCCTACCAGGGAGCTTGCAACTCAAGCAGCTACCGAGGCCAACACCTTGTTGAAATATCACCCTTCAATTGGGGTTCAAGTTGTTATAGGAGGAACACGGCTTGCACTTGAGCAGAAAAGGATGCAAGCAAATCCATGCCAGGTAATTAATTCATTGTGAAGTTCCTGCTTTATAAAATATGCGTTGGCTCTTTTGATAAATAAAGCAGCAGCTCTCTATCCGAGAAGAAGAATTTAATTAGAAGAAAATTCTGATACGTTAGTAAAAACATCTTAAGTTTTTGGCGTCTCAGAAAAGGAGGTTTGGATGACCAGAATCTAATAGAACTTCTATATTTCTACAACGATTATGCTTGTGTATTGGATGTAATGTTTCAGGCATGGGGTCACAATCAGTGTTGTCAAAGGCGCGCTTAAATGCGACACTGAATAATTGATATTTCACTTTATCGTTATTTTTCTTCAACTTTTTTTGTCCATATATTTGTTATTAATGCTTATAATTATTGGTCTTGGACTACATATACATATTTTTACTTTTTTCTCCCGTTGCGTCTTTTTTCATTAAAGGCCATGCTTTATTTGCCCTTTGCGCTTAAAGCCCCAACGGGCCTTAGAGCTTTTTTGTGCTTTTTGCCTTTGATAACAATGGTCACAATAAGGGTAAATTAGGCCCTAGATGATTTGAAAAGTGCTTCTCGACTTGTGATTCCTTATTGATCTCACAAAGCACCTTGTTATATCAATAGTCACGGACCTCTTAGTTTAGTCGTAGTCATCTTTTGTATGCATTCTTCAGACTGAGTAAGGCATGCTTATGAACTTTCTGTGGGATAAAGTGGCAGACAAGTCTTTGAGAAGGTACAGATGGGTGTGTAAGAGGCCAATTTTTGAACCATCCCAGTGCATCCTATCATTGAGAATGAATAAATTTATTATTTATAGTCATGATTGTCTCTCTCATCACAAGCAAGAATGGGCGTAGTCGCAAGTCAGCGTTTAACCAATGATCAATTAATAAGAAACTAGAGCATCATGGTTGCTTCTATGCTTCCAAATCTGCTTTCTTTGTTTAGTTCTGTTTTGTCTTTATATCATGGATACTGATTGAATTTCACTCCAGAAATAACTACTAATGTCACTTGTCAAAAAAGAAATAATTACTAATGTTTTCCAATATGTGACTCAGATACTTGTGGCGACACCTGGGAGGCTCAGAGATCACGTGGAGAATACAGCAGGATTTGCTACACGATTGATGGGTGTTAAAGTGTTGGTGCTTGACGAAGCTGATCATTTGTTGGATATGGGATTCCGTAAAGAAATTGAGAAAATCATCTCTGCTATTCCAAAACAGCGCCAAACACTTCTCTTCTCTGCAACAGTTCCGCCAGAGGTATTTAATTTAATTACTCTCTTGGAGTAAGTAGTATGAAGAGATGGAACTGAATTAACCTTTAACTTTGCAGGTCCGTCAAATTTGCCATATTGCTTTGAAAAGAGATCATGAATTTATCAATACTGTTGAGGAAGGCAGTGAAGAGACACACGCACAAGTAGGTCTTGGTTATTTCTTAGAGTTCCTAGAACTGATACCTTTGTTGGATATGACTTGACTTTTTAATTGTTTCTGAAATCTTCAGGTTCAGCAGATGCAGCTGGTTGCTCCTCTAGAAACACACTTTTCGCTCCTTTATGCTCTACTAAAAGAGCACATCGCTGATGACGTTAACTATAAGGTATTATACTTCGAAATTACTATATTTATACACATTTGTTTCTTCGGTTTCTCGAGGGGAAAAAGGAAAAGTAGGTCAATTTCGGTAGCTTGGAAAGTCAAAATGGTCTTGGTTAGTCACATCTATTATGATGCTCTTCTGGTACTTGAAGATACCGCTCACTGGTTAATGTTAATGATCTGCTCTTTTTATCCCAAAGTACCCCAAAAAAAAGATATTTGAATTCTTAGTAGGTTCTGCCATCACAGCTTACTTGTCATATATGCTATATTTGTTTTTTTGAATGGTAAGTACTCTTGTCATATATTCTATATTTGAATGGGAAGTTCAAATAACAATAACTCGCAAGTGCTTCCAAATTTCTTAGACTCTGATGCTTGACTGCAGGTTCTTGTATTTTGCACAACTGCAATGGTAACAAGACTCGTCGCCGAACTTCTTAGTGAACTTAACCTAAATGTCCGGGAGATTCATTCCCGTAAGCCACAAAGCTATAGAACAAGAGTTTCAGATGAATTTCGCAAGTCAACAGGTCTTATTCTAGTTACCTCGGATGTCTCTGCCCGTGGAGTAGATTATCCAGATGTCACCTTTGTTATACAGGTATGTATTGTCAACTTGGATTATATGTGATGTCACCTGCTCTATCTGAAATGTCCTTAGTTCAGTCTAGTGTTTAAATTTCTCTTCCAAGCCAAGGCTGATATTTGTGTTTGTAAACATAAGTTGTGTCAAAACCCTCTTACCTGACACGAGTGATACCAAAAACTTAATCAACCTTGATTCTATCATCCAAAAGTCTAAGTTATACATTCGTTGTTCAGTTGGAAGTGTTTTCTTACCAGAGTCTTTTTGCTATTCATCTGGACTGATTTCTTAGAAATCAAGCTTTATATATATCGTCTTTTCAACTGCTTATTAATGGATACCATGCGTCTGTAGGCTTATGTCGACTCTTTACTTTTGTAGATTGGTGTGCCAGCTGATAGACAGCAGTATATCCATCGTCTAGGTAGAACTGGGCGGAAAGGCAAAGAAGGACAAGGCATTTTATTGTTGGCTCCATGGGAGGAATACTTCTTGTCTACAATTAAAGATTTGCCCATATCAAAGGCACCCGTACCTTTGATTGATCCAGAGACCAAGAAAAAGGTTGGTATCAACTTTATGTGAAGCATGTTTCTTTCTAGCTAGTGGCACAATCTGAAGCGTGAAGCTGAATCTGGAGTACTTTGTTCTTGAACTTGTTTAATTCCTTGTTTTTCTTTTTCTATTTTATAAATAATATGTTTTTGATAATACCAAGATTAAGCCAACATATATGCTTGTGTAGGTGGAACGTGCATTATCCCATATAGATATGAAAAGCAAAGAAACTGCATACCAGGCATGGCTTGGTTACTATAACTCCAACAGAGCTATCGGTAAGGACAAGTACAGACTTGTTGAACTTGCAAATGAGTTTAGTCGGACAATGGGGCTCGACAACCCTCCAGCGATTCCAAAGCTTGTTCTTGGGAAAATGGGCTTGAAAAATATTCCCGGACTACGTTCCAAGTAAGTTGAGATAGCGTTGCTTCTTCATATATGCATACAAGTGTATATATACATAGTGCAGGTCACACAATGCAACAATTATTATTTTTAGCTTAGTGCTGATTTTGCAATGTTTGTAATCTCGCTACTAGGGAGAATTGAGAGCCTACAGAAACATAATTTTGGAGTTCCTTTTTGCTAACAGGCAAGTTGGCCTTTCCTCTTTCTAGTTATACTATATTGATTCTTCATTCAGTGTGCGGGAATTACAGAATCGTAGTTTTGTTATCTAACTTTTCATAATGTGAAGTCAAAACCACAAATGGCGCTAACAAGTTAATGATGTGTATCTAACTTGTGGGAGGACATCTTGAAGTTATTTTCAGAAATTCTTGAATTTGTTGTTATCTAACTTTTGCGATATTGAAATGAAATAAACATGAACACAGTGGGAATGAAGGTGTAGCTGACATATATATATATGTGTGCGCGCGTGTGTGTATGTGTGTGCCACTTCGTGAATTATTATAGTTATTTCTTTTTTAGGTTTATTCTTTTCTTGAGAAATTGGTTTAATGCTCCTATTGCTATTGACAACATCAAGTTCTAGAACATATGACTGACCCCTTCAAGCCCAAATTGGCTATCACAATTACAACGGTCAAGAGGATTTATGCTTATATCTATCAGATACGGGTATGTTCTAACAGAAAAATTAGTATTTTCCTATGTGTATTGAGACCAGTTATGATTTGACCCCAACTGTGAAAACGAGAAAATCATTGGCGGCCCCAATAAAGGGATTTTCCATATAGAAATCAAGGTCGTACTAATGTAAAAGGTAGAGCAAATGCTGCCCAACCCCAGATTTGATTCAGGAGGCACTAAAGTAATCTGTGGAAAATTGTTCACAAGGATGGATGGAACTGGCTCAACAAATTTTTTCAAATAATAGGATCTAAATCGTAATATATAATTCGATAAGTACCTGCACCATATGGATGAACTTCAAACTATAAATTTAAAAGTCTCAGTAAATTCTTTTTTTTCCTGTGTTCTGGATAAGGTGATTACATTGTCTAAATACGGCAATAAATTTGATGCGTAATTGACATATGACTACGAACATTTATTGGATAAATAAATAGGAATCTGTACATGGTATGTGAGAGGGAACTCTTAGAGTCAATTCCCTGGATGGTCATTCATGTTGTAGAAATAACTTAAGAAAGTCACTTTTGTTTTTTCTAGGACAATAAAATCACTCATGTTTGCTTATATATCTCAAAAGGTCACTACTCACACTCTCACCTAAATCATTTGCCATATCATTTAAAATGCCTATTTATACAAGAATACCCCATTTTGTAATTATTGTTTAGGATAATGAAATCACTCATGGGCATGTTTTTTTTCTAGTGATGATCTCTGCTACTCTTGTGGTGGTTTTACTTTTTAATTGTGACCACTTCTAAGGATCGTTACAAATTATTTTCAATTACAGTACTAGTTTTACGGACTTTAATGTCGTCAGAAAAAGTCTTTTGTGATAACTGATATTTTTTTCATTGATTATGCTGACTGACAGTCCTATTTCTTGTTAGTGTTTTGAGACAGTTTTTTTACGATATTCGATATTCATTTAAGATATAAAATAAATTTAGAATCTTGTCACTATATTGTCATTCCAACCTAGCCAAACTTGCCTTTATTCAAAGTATATGTCACATGACTTCGATTAATGGCTTGTCCCAACTGATAAAACCTCCCGCTACGGTAATTACCTCTCATAATTACTACTAAATCTTATATTGCCTTATTATCATAATAAGCTTTTGAAAAGTGGTCCTTAAAAAACAGTCATTTAATATATATTTTAGATTTTGGATCGAATGGTTGCGGATTAAAAAATAGGTTATTCTTGTATAAATAGGTATATTACATGACATGGCAAATTATTTTTGTGAGAGAGTGAGTAGTGACCTTTTAAGATATATAGGCAAACACGAGTGATTTTGTTGTCCTAAAAACAAAAGTGACTTTCTCGAGTAATTTACATAACATGAATGACCATCCAGCAATTGACTCGAACTCTAATTAAGTTGGTTGGACATTCATGACCCAACAGGGTGTTACTTCTTGATAAAAAAAAACGTGTCAAATTCAAGTCTCATTATTATACGGTAATATAAAAGGGGGAAGTGCACGGTTGGCCACTAATAACACATATATTTACTTTTAAGCCACCATTTAAAATGTCTTTAGTCTTTAGCCACTGCTTTAATAAACTTTAACTGCCCGGACGAAAATACCCTTCTCCTCATGTCCTTAACTTTTGTACTTAACTTCAGGACTTCAGGACTACATGATTTAACTTTTGAACTTGGAACTCTAAGTTCAGGACTTCAGGACTACATGTCCTTAACTTTTGAACTTGGAACTCTAAGTTCAGGACTTCAAGGCTACATGTCCTTAACTTTTGAACTTGGAACTCAAACTTCAAGACCAAGCGTCCTTAACTTTTGAACTTGTAAGTCAAAGTTAAAGGACCTATTGTCCTTAACTTTTGAACGTGTAACTGTAAGTTAAGGACTGTTTGTCCTTAACTTTTGAACGTGTAACTGTAAGTTAAGGACTGTCTGTCCTTAACTTTTGAACTTGGAAATCAAAGTTAAGGACCCATTGTCCTTAACTTTTGAACTTGTAACTGTAAGTTAAGGACTGCCTGTCCTTAACTTATGAACTTGTGTCCTTAACTATTGAACTTAACTTTAGGACTTCAAGACTACATTTCCTTAACTTTTGAACTTGAAACTCTAAGTTCAGGACCATGTCCTTAACTTTTGAATTTAACTTTAGGACTTCAGGACTACATGTCCTTAACTTCTGGGAAGGAATTGCACTTCCTGTTTACTCAACACTCTTTTTCTTATTTTCACAACTTTTAGATCTAAAAATAAATTCAAGGAGCTAAGAGCAAATTCAAGGAGCTAAGATATAAACGTTATTTGTATCTTTTCACAAAATAATAATAATAATATTAATAATTGCAATTTATATATAAGATTGATGTCAGGTTCGGCTTGGATGCAACATTGATAAGACAAATCTACATAACCTTTTCATTATTAGTCTGATGAAAATACAAGTGACGACGATTTGTTTTCTAGAGAATGAAACCAAAATTCTCTTTGATTACTCTCAGATTCACAATACATGTTTATTCCCTAGTAAGCTTACATAAGGCGAATTCAAAATAGTCGCTTCGTTAGACTTCAAAAACGGATGGTTAAACAAAAAAAGTAAAAGGTTAAATGCCAGAAAGGAACGAAATATTCTTTTAATAAATTAAGAACACTGGGAGCGGGTGGTTGAGGCGAGGGTGAGGGAGATGACGTCTATATCAGTGAACCAGTTCGGTTTCATGCCGGGCCGCTCCACTACAGAAGCTATCCACCTTGTCAGGAGATTGGTGGAACACTTCAGGGATAACAAGAAGGACCTGCACATGGTGTTTATCGACTTGGAGAAGGCGTACGACAAGGTCCCAAGGGAGGTGCTATGGAGGTGTCTGGAGGCGAAGAGCGTGCCGGAAGCCTACATCAGAGTGATCAAGGACATGTACGATGGAGCTAAGACTAGGGTTAAGACGGTGGGTGGCGACTCAGACCATTTCCCGGTGGTTATGGGGCTTCATCAAGGATCTGCACTTAGCCCTCTTATTTGCTTTGGTGATGGATGCTATAACACGCCATATTCAAGGGGATGTGCCATGGTGTATGCTATTTGCTGATGACATAGTCCTGATAGACGAGACGAGGGTCGGTGTTAACGAGAGGTTGGAGGTCTGGAGACAGACTCTCGAGTCCAAGGGTTTCAAACTAAGCAGGGCTAAGACAGAGTTCCTGGAGTGCAAGTTTAGCGCCGAGCCGAGCGAAGTAGGCAGGGACGTCAAGCTTGGATCTCAGGTCATCGCCAAGAGGGACAGTTTCAGATATCTTGGGTCGGTGATTCAGGGGGACGGAGAGATCGACGGGAATGTCACTCACCGTATAGGGGCAGGGTGGTCGAAATGGAGGCTTGCATTAGGAGTCTTGTGTGACAAGAAAGTGCCACAGAAACTCAAGGGGAAGTTTTATAGAGCTGTGGTTAGACCTGCCATGTTGTATGGGGCTGAGTAGAACTCCCATGTCTAGAGAATGAAGGTTGCGGAGATGAGGATGCTCGGGTGGATGTGCGGGCTCACCAGGTTAGATAAGATTAGGAATGAAGTTATTCGGGAGAAGGTGGGGGTGGCCCTAGTAGATGAGAAGATGCGGGAAGCGAGGCTCAGGTGGTACGGGAATGTGCGGAGGAGAAGCCCCGATGCCCCGGTGAGGAGTTGTGAGCGGCTGGCGGTGGTTGGCGCGAGCCGAGGCAGAGGGAGGCCCAAGAGGTATTGGGGAGAGGTGATTAGGCAGGACATGGCTAGAATGCGGATTTCCGAGGACATGGCCCTTGATAGGAAAGTCTGGAGGTCTAGTATCAGGGTTGTAGGATAGGGGCTTCTAGAATTTTTCGTACTTCTGTCCCGAGGCTGGGGGGGGGGGAGGGTTTGGTAGGGCTCTCCATAGATGATATGTGTATTGTATTGTGCCCCCTTATGGTAGTTACTGGTCGATATATTTGCATGCCATTTTATTTATGGTTTATGTTTAGATAATTATTTATGTGATTTCTGCTGGAGTTACTAATGCTCTTTTGTTTTTTGTTTTTGTTTTCCTTTTCCTTTTCCTGAGCCGAGGGTCGATTGGAAACAGCCTCTCTGCCCTTTCGGGTAGGGGTAAGGCTTATGTACGTATTACCCTCCCCAGACCCCACCTTGTGGGACTATACTGGGTAGTTGTTGTTGTTGTTGTTCTAACATTGATATTCATTCGTAAGTCAAGTATATGTTTGAATCAGAGTTATTATCAAAAGGGAATTGATCAAGTACAATTATAAACGCAGGTGCAAATGTATTGGCCAATACTGGCGCCAGAACTTGAGCAAAGTTCATTCCCGTTGTATTTTTGAAAGCATTCCATTCCCGTTCAATACAGTTCTTCTCCCTGACATGAAAGAGATAGAAGAAAGGGTAACACAGTCTTTTCATATTAATTTTAATAGACTAGTGGCTACTATTGCTAAGCATTAAAAATGCTGGATAAAAAGTAAATACCACTTTAAAAAGTGGCTACCCCATACAATTTTTACAATATAAAACTCATTAAAAATGCTTGACGTTTAAATATATAGCAAATGAAACCAAGAAACATCACATAGGAAAGAACGCCAACATAATATATAGAATATTTGAATGATTTCCATGAAGGCATGACAAAAAAATGAATCGACGTGGATAAAAAGAGAGCAATGACCTCCAAAATTTATCCCTTCCTGTTATATGCACAATTAAGCTGCCTTGCGTCTTAATAATATTCACAATATAATTTACTTATGTATTTTGATTTAACATAATATTAAAAGTTGTAGTTATCTTAGAATTTATTTCAAATATTCAGTCGCTGTACAATGATTTGGTCTTCCACAATTCTAATACGAAACTATAGTGGTTACTTGCTACCTCCCATCGATACAGATACCAATTACCAAGTAACTGTAGTAAGGCTTTGCCTCTGCTGAAATTTAAACACGAGTCTCCCGTGGTATATTCCAGTTTCATTGATGTTGAGTGTGTGCTTTCTAGAAGCAATAATATGACAAGATCCTTTCACCATTGCATGAACCAAAAGAAAACTTACTGATGCGCAGAAGCACCTTGAGTAGTAGCACAGCAGATGAACCATCATGTTTGTAAACGATTCTAAATTCTCTGTGACCATCACAGTCACATCACTACACTGCAAATATTCTGCATAAGCTGAAGCTAGTACAAGTTCAGTTTTCGACAAAATCTTACTACATTCTATTGAAAATGAATTTTTTAAATGGTAACACTGCTATAACAAGTTTAAAAACTCTAAATTCTTGGAAGAGTTTCTACTTCAATGAGATTACAATATGCTAATCTCTCTACAAGAACAGAACCAAACCTATATCTCTTCTCCATCCAACCACCTGCACCTTATGTTTTGAAGAGGGTTGCTGCAGCTAAACAAAGATTCCAGAACATACAGAACTAGGAACTGAAGGACGACCACTTTCTAGCAAAATCTGAAGAGTAATTTCTCAAGGTCCGGTCTTCATTGCTAAACTAAAGCGAGGATGTGACTGACTGGTAACGCGCCAGTCCCTCACCATTGTTTCTTCCATCACCAAATCACTGTCTTCTTCCACCTTAATATTAAAGGGTTGAAGAATTTGTACCGATAAACGATAATTTCTTCCAGCCACTTATCTGGCAAATTACTTAAATCCTCCTGTTCAGAATATGAATTGGAAAGTTAGAAATTGCCATCACCAAAAAGAAATTGGCAGCGAATGATAGATGCAGCCATAATATGAAATAATCTAATCAGAAAACTCTACATAATACTTCTCAACACCACCCCACCACCCCCCCCCCCAAAAAAAACAACGCGAAAAGGATTTATTCGGATTATGTTTCATTTCAGGACTTCGAAAAAAGTTCGAAGTGGAAAGGATCTAAGTTAGACCCTTCAACAGAGTGATATGACAATTAGAGACTAGACTGCAACACCAGCTCAGTTTCACAAGTAACTGCAATTTGAACAAATGCCCCCTAGTCATAATTTCGAAAATTCCCCTGAAAGTAAACATAAATATTACCTTTGATGATGAGGTGAAGATGGCTGATCTGGAGAAGAGTGTTGCCCAGAAACTGCATGAAATCTCTGTTCCTCGAATGCTCCCCGTTGTCGACTTACCTCACCTGGCTGAGGTTGTTCATTTACACCTGAGAATCCTACTGGACCCAGAGACCCAAACTCAAGCTGTTCTCCATGTGAACCATAACTGGCATTGTCGTCAAATGGATACAGCATTACAAAAGGTGATCCACCAGGTCCATTTGAAGTCACTCCACTAGGGTTCATTGCTGTTAAAGGATACATGCCGTATGCTGCATTAGGAGGGCCACTGTGGCTTGAGTTTCCACGCAATGGACCATTTTGGGACAGATAAGAAGGAATGGAGTCGTGTCTATGTGAGTTCCATGATCTGTCTGCCCGGCTATCACCGGATGCCAACCGATCCACTCTTGAGTTTGACTTCTCAGATTGGCTGCGGTTATAACTGCGCCCAGCAGCACGAGATTTTGAATTCATATTCCAATTACCCTCTCTGTCCACATGGTTATCGTTTCTCTCATAGGTGTAATTGCCCCTTCTTGTACTAGATGAGTGCCGATCCCTAGCTGACACCTTCTGAAGCAACATCAAATTGCAAAGGTAAAATATCAATTTGAAATGATAGTACCATGTCTCAATCAAAAAACACCTTGTGCACATAATCGAAGAGCTTTACACGAAATCAAGCTTCCCTAATGGAAAGACAGGCAAGATGATCAGTATGTGGAAAAGCATGGAAAAGCAACAATTCTCACTGTAACCATCCTCAGCAACAATTCAAAAGCATGGAAAAGCAAAGCTGAATAGTATTAAGTAATTCTACTTTTCACAAACATCTAATGGAACTAGTGACAAGGATAATGCTGTCTCCCACTAATAAAAGAGGATATGAGCGCAACCATTTTTATCCTAATGCTTGAACATTTATGTGAAAAGGACAGAATGAAAACATCGGATTGCGTTAATAAATCTATTAATCACATTCAGCATGATGAGAACAGGACGATTAGTTAGGAAACAAGAAGAGAGATGTGCATGAATATTTTAATTTGAAAACAAAAGATGCGCAAATTTCCCTAAAATATCCACCTAATACTATCTATTAAAGAGAGATAAAAAGAGATATAGATATTAAATTTAATAATGTACAGTTTTATGAGTCAACTACTACTTACAGGATTTGGCAGGTACGTCCCAGTCCCGCTACGGAATCTTGGTATCTCATCAACATACCGTTGAAACATATTAGGAGGTCTGTTAGAAACAGACTGAAGTGGTGCAACGGGCAATATACGAGGACCATAGCTCATCAACTGAGTAAAGAGGTTCATGTTGGCTGAATGAGGTCTTCCAGGACCATCCCACGGGAAACGACCCTGTAAATATACAGGGGGTACCATTACTGGAGAAGGATAAACAAGTGGTCCAGGATGTCTAGGGTTTTGGCAAAACCTTCCATATTGCAAATTTTGAAAATGACTAGCAAAGTCGCTGTTAAGTATATCGGACTTGTGTTCACCAGGCCCCTCCATCGAAGTGGGCCCCCTAAAAGAGCTGGATGGAGTTAAATCTTCGGAGTGGTCAAGTCCCTCAGATGTATCAAAGTTCTGACCTGAATCACTATGATCTAGGCATTCTTCTCCTCCTAAATGGCTTGTTGAAGAATCAGGAGTTCCTGCCTCAGGTGGAATATTATATATTGGAAGCATAGTGAGAAATGGAACTGGTGGCCCAGTGGGATAAAATGCAATAACCCCAGAATTATCACCCATTCTTTGCCGAGAACCAGGCCCAATAAGCATTGGTGCGATGGGTATCATTGGGTCTGATCCACTTGTCTGAGCAACTTCATGTTCAGGCACATGCCTTGCAAGGTGCATGGGAATAACAGATTGAGGTCCTTGGCTTCTCTCAGCCATTTCGGTACCCACATTTGACACAGAATTCCAATCCTGATCATCCTCCTCAGCTTGATCTGACACGTGGTCAGACATCATTTTACCTTTTCCATAACCAGTAGTTGGCTCTGTGGCAGCTGCTTTCTTTCCCCGCCTTTCCCTTGTTGACTTTGTGCTTTTAGCGGATGACCCATCCCAAGAACTCTCAGAAGAGGTTTTACTTCTCATCGAACTACTATGAGCACTGGACGAGAACCTGGAACTTGCCAACCTTTCTTCAGCATAAATGTCATTCGCTCTGCTATCCTGAAACTGAATATTATCAGAATGTTCTTCCCTAATTGGCCCACGTTTTTCCTTCATATACTTCTGCTGAGCTCCCAGAGAGTTACCAGAGCCACTAACCCAAGATGAAGGAACAAAGTTAAAACCTGAATGTACAGATTGTGGCTTAAGATCAGATTGAACTGTTTCGTAATTTCCATTCTCTGGGTCAAATCCAACACTGGAGCCAGCATCTGGCTCTTGCCAGAAATCATTTTCTGCCTCGCCTGAGTTCATCTCCATAGAACTAAAATTCTCATTATTGCGGTCAACTGGATCTTCAGAAGTTGGATTCAACCCAAGGCCTGGGAAGTACTGGTTGAAATGAGGTGAAATCAACCCATGCGGAAATTGCATGTTCGAAAATGCAGGATCCATAAACGGAATATTAGTGGGAACTCCTGGCATATTTCGTTGATTATAGCCCATAGAAGTCAGAAATGAAGGAGAGATAGGAAAAGGTAACTGAGCTGAAGCCCAATTAAAAGGAAAATGAACTTGACCATTAAATCCATGGATTGAAGTAGATGCCATCATATTCACAAGATCTTGCTCTTCCTGATGCATACCCTGTGTCCCCCCACCAGTCGACGAGAGCTCTTCATTCAGAACATCGATGCCTGATTCTCGGTGAAAGCTATTTAATCCACCATTGGAATCGGTCCCAAGATCATGACTCTGATGGGATGGAATGTGTCCGACAGTTGGCGTGTTATCATTTAGAGTTCGACCGCTCTGACCTGCAACATTTTCAGATCCTTGATTCCTCCTTTTATAACTGTTGTCCTGCCTCATCGGAGTGGGTTGCATTTTTGCAGTCTCTGGAGCTCTTCCATGCCTTTCTCGATTGTTATTATCACCATAGGTGTCTGTAAGCTCAGGACTAGACCGCGTTCTGGCGAAAACAAACCTACCCTGGATATCATTCAGTATTTGATCAGATTTTGAATCTCTCTGAATTTTGTCAGCATGTGAAACCTGAGAGGTAGCAGTTTCCTTCTGCAATTGATCAGAAACCCTTGAGTTGCTCAAATTGTTGTGGCTCTTTCGGTTTTCAGTATAAGAGGACACAGAAAAATCATTTGTTCTAGAGAAGGTTCCAGAAGAATGGCTAACATATTGAGAAGAAGCATTCCGTGGATTGGCTCCCTCCGCCTTACTCACCTTTTTTCCACTGGGTTTGACCCTAAAATTCTGAGACTCCGGTACGTCATCTGGTGTTGACAATCTTATGTGTGACAATTCAGCCTCTGGGGCATCAGGCCTTTGGCCGCTGCCATGCCTGTCCCAGGTATTCATAAAAAACTGATTTACTTCATAAATTAGATTTTCTTTGGGGCAATCCAGCAATCTTGCCAGCCTTTTGGCACCAAATGCAAACGCACTCCGTATCCTATAAAAGTTACCTGCCAGAATAATAATCAGCCGAAATGAAGTACTAAGAAGAAATGATGTGAAGAACATGCCATAAATAGACCTTTTAAAACCATGGAGTTATTTTCTATTAAGCAGTTGTCATTCAAGGCTGTCCCTTATGAATTTCCCTTACTCAGGCTTTTGCTAGTCAAAGAAAATAGTAAGATACTAAACAATTGAATTACTTTCTGTTCTTCTAGGACATCAATCACACATCATGTATTCTGATATGGTTAAACCCACCCCTCCAAAACCCACCTGCCGAGGAGTCACCAGCCCTTCCCCATTTTGCACCCTAGGTGACTGGAACCCCCACATTCAAGGTTGTAGGTGAAGAATGTTCTCTAGGTTATCCCTCACTCGTCAGTGGTGGCAAAAATTAAACGTCAGAACCTTCAAATATATAGTTAAATCTACCATCAGAGAAGTAAAGAAATTACGGAAAATATCAAGAAGCAACTAATTGTAAGTGACAGCTCATGTTCAAAGACCCTCATAAGTATGGCCAAGACCAAGAGTGAACAGAAGCTTATTAAAAAACGACATCAAAGCTTATATTGACATAATTAGTGAACAGATTCAAATTTCAAGTACCTTTACTCACACTACGACCAAGGTTGTTGTTTACTCGTAAAGGATCAATCACATTAAAATGTTTAGAGACAAAAGGTAGCCCTTGGTTTTCCTGCCCACCAGGAAAAACAGCATACACAGAGCTACAGGCATCAAGAAACAATTTGCTGAGAAGCAATTCTCCACCATCTTTGCGAGGAGGTTCCGCTGTAACATGACGCAAAATTAAGCCATCAAATTAACTCATGCCAAACTACAGGAAATCAAAAATACTAAATGACCCTACACATGTGCATTACCAGCGACATCAGGAAGTGAACTAATAGCCACAGGACCCCATAAACTAACACAAAAGTTGTCCCAATCAAAGTTGCTGAAGAACTCCAAGAAGCGGAAAAGGACCTGAGTATGAATTGTAAACATTAAAGAGCAAGAAATAAAACCCGTAAAACAAAAAAATAAACATCAGTTAAAAATCAGTCACCTCAAGTGGCCCAGAAAAGGAATTGTTGAACACATGAAATATGTAAAGAACTAAGGTTTCCAAGGCATAAGTTGAAATGAGACCATGATGAGCACCCAGTATACGGCTCTCATAATAACACCATGCCTTAATCAAGATAATGCTGCGCTTGAACAAATGATTCTGGTTTATCAGGTGATCAACCTACAAATAACAAACAAGTACAGTAAAGAGTTCATGCTCCTTTAGAACTCTTTATTTCTCCACTAGTTCCGTTTTAGGAAAAGTAATTACTTAGCACAGCATGTCAACTCTATGGCTGTATCATCAAACAGCAGATTTTGTAATAGCATAAGAAACTACACACCTCCTCCAGGAAGCAAAGGGTACATAGACCCCCTAACTGATTGAAAGATATGTCAACCACGATATTTTCAACTAAACATTTTATTAATTTCACCTGCAGTCAAAAAAAAATAGAGAACAATGAGAGGGATTCATTGAAAACAGAATCACCAAGGCGCTGGTGAAAATAAAGAGTAACTACAGAAAATTCAACAGCATAACCAAGTAAGCACCATTAGCATCTACTATCCTTATTAAGCTATCCAGGTAGAGAAAGATGATTGATTATTCATCTTGAAGTATTAGCGTTCTTTCTTTCCTTTTTTCTGAAACAGATATATTAGCTACAAACTTAAATTACATCCCCTTTTATCTCCCAACTCCACTCAACACTATAATCTCTTAGTGCCCATGCTTGTCCCAAATACTAGTGGAACTGGATGATGTTCCTCACAACTTGCGAAAAGTCTATGCAATGAACATACTCCAACTAGACAAGTCTTAAAAGATTCTATATGTAGCTTCAGGAGCTCCGATAATAACATAGCTAAGTATCACTACATCTGATTGATAAGATCCACACCGGAAGGGTCAAGTGACTGCAGAAAAAGACCAAAGAGGTTTTCTACGGAGAACTTATACACCCATTTCTCAGTTCCTGATAGATAGTCGGACAGAACAAGGGGAGAGAAAATGTCTATGTTTAAGCACTAACAAAAAATTACACTGTTGTGAAGTCAACAGTAATCATTCCTAAAAGCAAGGACAATAGAATTAAGAAGGCATAAAAAGTATTATATTTATTGACCTTGGGAACGAGCATTACAACAAATCCAACTATAGACGTAAAACTATATACATGATGAAATTCCCCAAGTTCTTCAATATACTTAGTGTGGGGAATGAAAATGCAAACAGAATATATGATGATACCAATATAACTCCAATTAAATATCCGAAGAAGGTAGACTAAGCGGAAAGGATGTATATTAAATGCCAGATGCAACATCGATTCATTCAATAAATAGGAGCATTGGAAAGAACACTTTGAACTGATGATTTTGCAGAACCTATTGTGGTGCTTAACAAACATGAAATATCAGATAGAAGTCGATTTAGTTTTTTTACTGGCATGCAATCTCATAAATAAATTACTCTTGAAAGTTGAAACACATAACCCCAAAGAGTCCTAAATCATCTAAATGAACGAGAGCAAATGTTAACATCTGATTCTATGATATCTTCATATAAAAGCATTCAGAAAGAAACTTAATATAGCATTGACACAGTTTCTAGAATACTACAATTCTGCTCTTACAACTACAGTGAAAGAGAATCATACTTCTAATGTTCATATGAGATGTTCCTTTAATGCTAATTAGGATCTAGTCTCAAGCAAATAGGAGAGAGATGTTTCATTACTTTTGCAACTCTAAAAAAGGGTTCAAATAAGTGTCACATATTTTCATAGGAATAGTTCCTTCTATTTTTTTATAAGGCAGGAATAGTCCCTACCATATTAATTAAAAAATCAAAACAATAGATGGTAAGTAATCTCAAATAGATATGGTAACACAATTTTTCATTACACAATTATCAAAGAAGAACCACAAGTCTTGATAGTTGCACAGAGAAATCTTCTGCTAAAGTGACCATAACCACAAGACAAAACCATTGCATCAACCATAAAAATAAGAAACTAGACAGTGCATGCTTTCTTGCATCCAAATGAAAAGGAAAGAAATTCTCTGAAAAGCCAAATGGAAAGAAAAGTTTCAAAAGATTGATCCAAAAATAGTCACAAAAGTTTAATTTGTTTCAGCAGGGAAGCTCCATAACTTTATACCATCCTAGATTAGAATCCCAAAAACAAGGGACAAGTGAAATTCAAGTCCCAAATATAACCAACAAAAGATGTTCATGGTACCATCTAATTTTCTGAATTAAAAAATACCCGAACAGCACTCCTTATAACTAAAAGATACTCCTAAAACATTCTCCATGCCACAAGTTGCCGAATCCCAACTACCTCCTAAAGAAAGCTAGCCAGAAAACTACCTACTCTTCTAATAGGCATCAATGCAGAAGATTAAGAATAAGTACATGCAAATCTCAAAGAAAAGGGGGTTTACTAAAAGGGCTTACTTCTGCCTGAATGTACTGGACCTCCTTCACATGAAATTCAGCATTTTCATTTTTCTCCTCTTTCTCTAGCATATCACGAACCTGATGAGCCCATGTATCTTTTAAACTTTGGTTATTACTGAAGGCAGTTAAATCAATGTCCCCATCAGGAAGATAAGTCTTCAAGGGTACTGAGCCGAATGTAAAAACCTGGAAAACCAGAAGTGATTAGAAGAAATTTATAAGTAAAACGCCAAAAGATGAGACAAAACATAAACAAGGCTGGAAAGTAAACCAAAGTCCTATATGGCAACTCCAAGTAACCACTTCCATTGTGAAGGAAGACTTACAATCGGATCAAAAAAAAAATAGAATAGTAAAATGTAGAAGTCATGCACGCTTATCTAGAAGACTCATTTCACCCAGTAAATTCATTATCTTTACTGGTATCTGACATAGAACAAAGTTTTTTGACATATCAAACGCTATGTGTGTATGAGAGCGACGACTCCACTCTTTTAGGAAAGATTGATTGCGAGGCAATAGTTTGAACCACCAAAGAATATCACCAGTCCACCTTGTACTCTCTTCACCCACCTCCACCACATACCCACACTCTACATTCTATTATATTTTCCCACTTCAGAACTCACTGGCCTTCATAATATCCTCAACTATTTCTATCCAACTATTGTATCTAATCCGCTCCCTTTACTTCTGGAAATAAAAGAAACATAGAAATCTGCACTTCATAGTAATATTACCTATTACAAGAAAATCCAAACTTTTAACCAACTCTCTAACTTACTCTGCTGTTTCATATTCAATAATGAGCTCCAGAATGCAGAATAAAGATCACTAATTTCAAGAAGATGTACATCCTTTTAGAAGTTCACAACGCAAACTAAAGTTCCTAATGCATTTAGAACAAGAAAATTCATTGGTCCTTCTTCATGGAGGTAAGTAACTCATATCACAGAGAAGTAGCAAAACTTCACATAACATAACAACAGATAAATCCAACAATGTTGCAATAACTATAATTCAAGACAACCTGACATGGGAAACATTTCATGATGAGGCGCTGAACGTAATCAGCAACAGCATTTCTGCGCTCCTCGGATGGTTGGTTAGGCTGAATGCAGGCAATGAGCTCAGCAGTCCTTTCCTCAGCCTTTGACCATCTCTCAGAGTCAAGGACTCCGATCACCGGTCCTGCATCGGGCACTAGCCCATTCGGCAATAGCCCACTTGGCTCTGCCCATTCCTCGTGTTCTCCCATACAAGAACTACTTGTTTAACCTCACTACAAATTGTTCAACAAAAATCCAACCTTTTCTCCCCACAAAGCTAAACTAGCAACCCCTTTATCAAGTATCTCATACAAAAGCTAAATTTGAATTACAAATAAAAACCCCAAGAATGCAGTCAACAATATGGTTAATAGATTAATAAAAGCAAGGCCAATTCTTCAATTGCACAACCATAAAATGACCAAAAAGGGTGTTAATAGCACTTGGTAGTTTTTATATACTCCTATATATCAACCCCCCAAAAAAAACACCTTTCCTCAACAATTTAAAAAAAAAAAAAAAATTAAAACAAAAAGAACCCTAAAGGGAAGGTCTGAGAGAAATAATTGATCAAGGGATTAAACTGGAAAAGGAAACCCTAAAATAGAAAATCAAATAAGCCCTGAGATACAACAAAAATGACGAATCCACAACTTTTCTTGGTTTTCTAACAGATAAAGATGGAATTTTCAATCCCAAAATAGAAAAATAGAAAAGAAAATAGAATAGGGAAAAAAGGAAAATGTGTTTTCCTGGAAAGGAGAAAGGGAAGCGTAGAGAGGTGTGTGTGTGTGTGTGAGAATGGGAAGCACAGATTAAAGTGTGTGTCTGTGTGAGAGAGAGAAAATTGGAATTCAGGAAAGAGAAAGGAATTGGTTTTGACGCTTTGAGTTTTGAGGATGTTGGCCTCGTAGAAAAAATATTGGGGAAAGGAGGAAGAGAGATTTTGTTTTTCTTTTCTTTTTTGTAGGTCCTTTTTTGGCCCCTTTTTATCCTTCTTCTCTATTATTTGGGGATGTTCTAATTCTAATAATCAAATGAAAGGGATGGGTCGTTAAACTTTTGGCAAATGATGGAATTTGATTATTTTAAAAATTACAAAAATACAATTGTTGGTATAATTAAGACCCTCTTATAAGTTTTTGATGATGAAAATTGATATTTTAAAAATCTTAAAATATATTTGTTGGTATAGTTAAGTCCCTTTTATAAGTTTTCGGTTGAAATAACTTAACACATAAAATCTTAGCTTCGTTGACTTTACGAAATAATATTCGCGTTTTTTGTAAAAACAAAAAAATTAAGAGAATGAGGTATGGGGGTAGACATGAATTTTATTAATTTATTACCTTTTCAATTTCAATGATATATCACAATTTGAATCTAGTGAATCTTCTCTTTTTGGTATCTTATTAATAATAATACAAAAAATTTATACTACTTATTATTGTGGGAAGGAAATATCAAAAGTGCATGGACACGTTATGCATTTTGGGCCAACAATCTAAGCAGTGTGCCCTAGCTGTAGGTCTTGGCGTTGGGCCTTAGGCCTAAGTCCTAACCAAAACCCTGATCAATTTCATTTTTTATTGTTTTCTTTTTTTTTTAACTATTTAAATTTAATAATATTACTTTATTTTATGAGGGGGCAGTTTTTTCCATTTTCTCGACTTTATCGCTCCTCTTCGCATACCACTGCCTTGTATTAGTGCTAGTTTTCTAATGTAAACTTTCATGATATGTCCTTTGCCTTAATATCTTTGCATATTTCCTTTCTATTCATAAAATATATTCATCAATTTCAGTTTATTGCAAATGGTATTCATGTGTGTTCATTGATGCATGTGGTGTTAATTTTTACCTCTCCTTATCACTAGTTTCTAATGTACATTTTCATGACATCTTTTGCCTTCATCTCTTATTCTGTTATCCCCTTTTCTCTTTAGCATGTATTTCTTTATGTTTAAATTTATGGATATCTGAATTGTCAAGTGTTTTTCAATTAATTAATACGTCAATTTTACATTAAAATATATGTGTGTATTTTGAAAAGAAGTAGCCTTGAGAATTAAGTCAATATAAATAAAAAGTTCAGAATCGATTCTAGCGGTGGAGATCTATTAAAATGGTCCTTGGTGGTGATATGCATTGTTGTGCATTTCTCCTACCATTGAATCATTTCGTGTTCCACTTGTTTTATCTTTGTGTAGGCTAAGTATAAAATGCTTGTGAACATAGAGTTGACATATGACGCAAAAAGAGAATAACGAGTTATTATCATTAATGGATGATGTTTAATAGGATCATGTTTAACGCCAAATGGTTTTCTTGTAGTTGTTTAAAAAAATTAATTTTCATTTCAGGATTATCAACATTAGAAGAAAAGGACTATATATAGAGGTGGGTGGCAGGGGCGTATGCAGAAATTTTTGTAAGCGGTGTCGAAATTTATAAAAAAATTGACATATAACTTTGATTATCATACCTTTAGACAAGAAAAATCTTAGTCTATTAATTTTGTTGAGTCTTAAGTTATAAAAGGTCCTGAGTATGTGTTTTCGTATTGCATAAATACATATATTTAGTAAAATTTTCCGACGAAGCGGTGTCGCGTGACACCGCTTCGGTAAGCGTAAATCCGCCCCTGGTGGGTGGTAAACGACAAGTCATTAGGGACGGAGGTAGCTTATCGGCTACGGATTCGTTTGAACTCATAACTTTCGATACGTGATCACGCCCAATTCTAGTCCTAAAAAAGATAAGCGGTCGCTGCAAATATACCGGTCTAAAAGTCCGGAGTCGAATTCCACAGAGAACTAAGGTTTAGCTACAATTATTCACTATCACCAAAAAAATAAGTTTGAACAATTTCTAAGTTATAAATATAAAGATTCTTATGTCTAACTAACTAACTAACAAATTAAAGGAGTGAATTAACAACTAAAGATTCTAAGGATTAAAAACAAGATTAAGGAGGTCTAGAGTTATAATTTTTCCTATTGTCGAAATTCTTCCCGCTACGTCTCCTATGATTTTGCCTAATTATTCTCTACTGATCGTGAGTATTTCAGGTGTCGTAATTCTCTCCCGAGCAACTATAACAATTAACTAGACATATTCTCCTGAACCACACTAGCTGGCACAATCTTACCGCTCACTATGACCACGTCAAAGCTTTGTTATTCCTAAACCCACCTTTAAACCTGTCGTATTGATTCCTTATATACGTTAGGAGTGATGTTGTTCAACAACTACCTAAATATGTACCCTTTTCCAAGCAATATATAATAAACAGGCATTGTCAATTGATAGTCATTCAATCAACAAAAATTAGCACGTAACTGAACAAGTAAAGAAATTCAAAGGCTAAATTATATTCAAACATAACAAGAATTCATCCTCCAAAAGGTTCCATCAATACCCTAAATAATAAATTAGCTACTCATAGTAATACGTGAAAATACAATACTAAAATTCATAACCAACAATAGAAAACAAGAAGAAGAAAGGAAAAACTCGTGGTTGAATCTTCTCCCTTGCTCCTCGTGTATTCTTGCTTCCAAAGGTATTGTGTAACCCTAAAGTAGTGTCTCCTCCTCCAAAGTTCTGTAAGAATCATGTTTAGCTTGCATTTAGATGACCTAGGTAGGGTGGAGGTTCTCCAGTGCAATCCAAAATCGGGTAGGAAAACTGGAGGCCGTCAACTTCCGTGCAGCACGCGACCATGGACGCGGACTCAGCTTTTGAATTTTCCAGTTTGCGAAGTGATCAGTGCCTTTGCTTCGCTTCGTTGTTTTGTGCCTTCATTTTTCTCCTGTGCCCGTTTTCGTGCCATGCACGAAATTGGACGAGCTCCCAATTCTTTCCATCTCTTCTTTTTGTGTCGAATTGTCATCTTTTGATCATTTATCATCCAAACTCGTTCCTACACATAAGAAACTGATATAAATTAAAGGTTCACCAAACTATATAGAGAACCAGGTTCTCTATTAGTTCCCACAGAACACACTTACACTGTAATAAGTAAATGACACAATGGAGTTTTATGTGAAAAACTCCCAGCTCACGGGATCAAAAACCCTAACCTACCCTTGTAGGATTTCAACTTCACTACTGAGCAAACTTTAGATTACAACTATAGTAACATAGGAATTAACCTCTTAATCCCTTACTAACTTATAACAACACTATTACAAGTCACTTTGTAACAACTCTATTACAAAGACTTTACAACTCGACTAACTCTAGACAAGACACAAACACAAGGGTTTATGATTTACAAAGATTTCCTACACAATGATTCTAATTAAGTTAAGTAGGAATTACAAGTAGAGTGCTTTAACATATATACAACACAACTAAGGATATGCAATTATTCGATACAGGGAACTGGTCCGTTGTTATGTTGTTCTTTGTTCTTGATGCCCTTGAGAGTCACTTGCAAGATTGATGGATGACTTGAGAGAATGCTTGATCAATTGTTGAACGTGCAAGTGTTTTGTTTTACCTTTGTTTGATGTTAATAATTCATTTGTGACATCACTTGAATGATGCAAGCAAGTTAGGTAAAGGGCATTCCCCATAAAGTTGACTGTTGCACTGTTGTGTGTGCATGCATCAACTTTATAGCTGGCACTACTAAAAAAATCAGGTTTTAGCGACGGACAAATTCTGTAGCTAAACAGAAAACTTCGTCGCTAATCTCATCTAGCGACGGATTAGCAACGAATTATCAAGAAATTCTGCTAGCTACGAGAGTTTTAGCGACAGATTAGCGACGACGTTCATAGCTAATTTCAGTTTTTTTTGTAGTGTGGGGGAGTTGACTTGTACAGTCACCACAAGAACTGGTAGCTATCTGTTCCCTTTAATGTTCCTTTGACTCTGAAGAGTTGAACTGTGTCTCCAACTGGAGACTTGTTGATCTTTAAGTTCTTGAGGATGTGTATCTGGTTCTTAATAGTAAGTTTGTTAGATCATCAAAACATAACAGGGATACACATATAACCTATCAATTTTCCCCTTTTTGATGATGATAAACTTATAATTCAAGTTCCCTCTAAGAACCAGAATGACATTCGCATTTTCTGTATTCCCCTGAATCTGTTCCTCATCCTGTTCCCCCTTAATTATTTTTCCCCCTTTTGGCATCAGAGAAAGATCAGTAGCGAGCCTTAAATAAAAAGAAGTCTAGCTTTAGTTAACTCATGCCACATGTGTGCACACAATCAATAAGCAAGGAGCAGTTCCATTGCTTCTAAACACATCCACAAAATAAGAACAGCAAAAACAAAAGTACCAGTCATAAACATCATCAGAACAAAAACAAAAGACGGACACTAAGGACTTGACACTTTGGAAGGACATTGTTTAGGGAACACTAAAAGGGGAAGGCCCAGATGAAGAGGCAAGAGTGCGAAGAAGGATGTCCATTCGACCATTAGCTGACACCTGCTCGTTGAGCAGTCTCTCCTTCAGGTCCTCAACCTGTTTCTTGAGGTCGGCATTTTCCTTGGTCATACGGGCAACCTCTGTGCTTTGAGAGCTACTAGAACCAGGTGCCTCCTGAAGCTAACTTAGCTAACCCTCAAGGAATGGCATTCCTTGCCTTCAGCTTCCGTATCTCCGCAGTGGCATTGTTTTGAGGGTTGATCAGCTGGGAGATAGTAGAAGTGCTGCCAACCCCTCCAACCTTTTCAATGCATTCACATTCCTCAAGGGTAGTCTTAGAGAAGATTTGCTTACAGGTACCCACTTTAGCTTGTCCCAAAGTGACTTTGAAGAACTCAAACACTTAGTAAGAACGAACCCGTTAGGCAGCTCATGATTACCATCCTTGAAATCTGCTACCTTCTGCATGTGTTCTATGATGATGGCAGGCAGGTTGATAGTTGTGTAGTTGTCCAATGCTTCCATGAGAACCAGGTCTGCTCGAGATGTAATGTACTGTCACTCAGCACG